ATTAAAAGCGAGATAAACATCAAACCTACTGCCCTGAATGTGACCGATACGCCCGGGTAAAACCACAGCACGCCTCCTGCTCCCCCAGCCGGCTGGAAGGGCTGAGCACTTTGCAAAGAAACCTGCCCACCCCGTGGCGGCCACACCGGCGCTTGCCCGCGCTCCCGGTGCTCAGGCCGGGCTTCTTCCGCTCAGCCCAGCCCCGCACGGGGCAAGGTTCCGCGCCTCCTGCCAAAGCCAGTGTCTAAAGACACCGGTCAACGCTCACGCCGACCCCGCGGGGAACAGCGCCTGAGACATTGCTAGAGACGACCCGACCATAATGCGGCTGTAAGGCGGAGTAAGTAGAGCCCCAGGGCGCCGAGAGAGGCACACGGGTAACAACCCCCTCCGACCTGCCTGCGCCGAGGGACACAGCGCTGACGCCTCGCTCCGCGCGGGACGGGACACGGGGCCGCTCGGTGGAGCGGGGTAAAGTGGCCAGAATGAAGCAGCGAGAAGGCTCAGCCCGCCCTCCGCCTCAGGGCGGCCCCGGGCAAAGTTCAAACCCGGTCGGAGCGGCAGGAGCGCGGCTGGGCGAAACGCGCTGCCCCGACCAGCATGGCCTCTGCCCCCCCCAGCAACTCACCCGACAGCCGCCAGCCACAGCCACCACCACAACCCCGCACCGGCCTCAGCCCCGCGCCAGCTCGGCAGTGTCCCGCGGCACACCGCGCACGCGCGGCCGCCAACGGCCGGGACAGCCGCTGCCCCCGCCCGGACTGGGCGAGGCGGGGCCGGGGACCAAAGCTCCGCCCCCCAGCGCCGAGGGGTGGGGCCGCGGCCGCCATGTCGGGGGTGGCCCGGGGGAAGGCCGTGCCGCCTCGGAAGTGGGGAGGTGTGTGGTAAAGCGTAGCTTCCAATGGTGCTAACCCTCCTTTACCCTGCCCTGTCCTGCCCGGAGCGGCAGGGGCTGGCAGAGCTGACGGCCCGCTGTACCCGGGCCCGGCCCGGCCCTCTTCTCCCCTCTGTGGGTCGTTCTCTGAGGGCAGGGGACAAAATGTCCAGACAGGAACCTGGTTCAGCACCGCGGCTGGTAACCCTGAGCAAGGGGCTGCTGTCACCCGTGGAGGCGCGGGTAGAGTTCTGTCTGCTGAGTCAATGCGTTCTGCTGCCAAGGCAGTTTTCGCCTCCTGGCTGAAGAACAAAAGAGAGTTTATACATCTCTATGTGGACGGGCAGCGGACAAAACGCAGCATTCAGCAGGGACTACGATAGCAGAGAATGGGGCCAGTATCTGTGGCAGCCGGCTTGTGCCAACACCTCTGCTCCGGCCTGCCCGGCTGCTCCCGCAGCACTGGCGCGGAGTTGTCCCAGCCCTTTGTCCTTCCAGCCGTCCGATGGCAGGAACAGCCGCACACTGAGCCATTTGGCGATGGAATGCCTCATTATGCTGGAAGGACTAATTAAGGGCGAGTGTTGACATATGTGAAAAGCAGCTTTGCCAAAGCCTTACACGGAGGACAAAAGAGCAGCGTGGTGGTTGGAAAGCAGAGCCCCCGAGTTCCCCAGGGTACATTAGAAAGGAGAGAAAGAGGCAGGATCCTCAGGGAGGCAATAAGCATTTAGCGGAGTCTCCCCGCTCGTTGGGAGCTGTCATTCTGAGGTGTGTTGGGCCCCTGGAGAAGTCCCACTTGGCGGGACGGATGGTAGTGCTAGGAGCTATCCAAAGCAAACACTGCCGCAGAGCAGTCAGTGCCTGGGAACGTGCAGGGAGTGGAGCGAAAGCAGCGATTCCCTGCGATCCATGGCTTGCACCTGCGTGCTTTTTAATAAGGGTTGGGTTTTTTTTTCAATGATTAGTGATGCACTGTGAAACACTTAGAATTAACCTAAATTGAACAGCCACAACCAGCTAATTCATATTAATTAATGGGAAATCCACTGCGAATTTACAAGTGTGATCAAAGGTGATACTTCATTGAATGTCGTCTTCATGTGGGACCTGTTCCCACAATCCCTTAATTGTAACAATTACAATCACATTCTTCAAAAACACTGAAATAAGTTGCTTAGTCTCAGAGTTCAGTAAAGGGGGTAAAAAAAGTAAAATCTTTGACAGTTTAAATTTCTTCCTCTTTGTTATGTGCATCACAAAGCACTAAATCTTTAGAACACAATTTGGATTAATTGGTAAGTTTTAACTGGATGAGATCTAATCACAGCTCCTGCCTGTGAATCTTCAGGGAAAATAATACGAAATTTTCCCTTTGTTTTGGTATAAAAGACATGAAGTCTTTTATTCAAACATACAAATTTCTGAGATTCTGTTCTCCCTGGATTTGTTTAATGTTTTGAATAAACTGATAATTTTGGGTAGAAGGCACTTGTTTGTCACAAGTGTTACTTATGGACTCTATTAAATGGGTCTTCTATGTTTAGAACTTAAAACGACTATCATACCACACCACTGTTGAAAAGTTCAAGTAATTTACAAAGCCCTAGGTAAAACTTCAGAAGGTTGTTTTGTATTTTCTGAACTGTTCTATATTTTCTTACAATATTTTAAGTACATTGGCTCCATTTCATTAAACACAGAAGTTCAGTAATGTGTTTAACTCCTGCTTGGGGGCCCTTCCTGTAAAAATTACACAGACCCAGAGGTAAGCATGGAGGGAGGCAATATTGGACTTACCTGGTGTAATGATGCAGGCTTCCCAACTGCAATCATGTATTGATTTAGAAGATTAGGTCTATTACTGGAAATCAGAGTACAGCTGGAGACATGCTGACCTATTACAATAGGCATAGGTGTCCTAGTGAATGTAGTGGTTTCTTAAAAGCTCTCTTAAGTACAGCTGTTCTCCCTCAGGACTGAAACTATTGACAAAGCATAGGAGTAAGAAAAAATTTAAGGAAGATGTTACTGTGTCTTCAACTCCTGTATAATGTAACAAATCAGTTTTTCTTAAAAGCTGAATATTTTCAAGTTGTTACAATCAAGATATCACTAAAATCCTTTTAGACTGTGTGTGTTTCATACAGCTTTTTCTCTGGCAAGAAATAGTACACAAGATGAACGGAAGCAAATGGTCCTTTTCTTACTGGGTGGTGAACAGAAGCAAACAGCCCAGACTGAGTTCACTGAAATACTCTACAGGGTATTCATCAGATGAATACAACGATATCATGCCCCCTTTGTCAGGAGAGATCGGATGCATTGGTGTGGAAGATAGTAACAAACCCTGAACTTGTTTTATAATGTAGGAGTGAATCTCAGTGTTGATGAAGTGAAGCAGTGTTTTAGCTGTCACCACCCATCCCATCAAGGTCACAGGAGAACCAGTGCACATGGTGTATCTAAAAACAAGCAGAAAATTAATTTTGAAGGGATAATTTAAACCATATATTTAACAAGGTTAACCCCTGCCAGAGGAAACCATCAGCTACCTATAATTAAACATCAGCAAGTCAGCTATATTGATTGACCTTAACTTGAGATAGCAGTTGTTGCCTGAAGCCTTTTGTGTGTGCACACAGAGCTGTAATGGAACAGGAGGAAAACGGAACTGTAAAATAAACAGAATCTGGTTATTCCGTACTTGGCAATTCTGTTGACAAAGACAGCACGCTCCTCTGCACAGTGTCCTTTTCCCACATGCTCCTCACAGGAATGTTAAACCTTTCAGGCTGCCACACAGAAGAAGCTCAAGGAACTGCTTTTTCTGGGAGTTTGCTGTGCAATAGAAAAGTGAGTCATTGTTTTATGGGTGATGTTGGGTGAACCAGCATTTGTGAAGAGGGTGTTACCTCCATGCAATGAAAGGAGTATCCTCACACGCTGCTGGACTGTTGGTCTGTAAACCCACAAGACAAGTGAATACAGCTTCAGTTTTACAAGTAGAGTGGAATGCTTAAAACCATGAAAAATTCAGGATGGCCTAAGCAACTCTTCATAGCAGGTAACACAGATTTATAAATAACATAGGATGTGAATTCTTAGACACTCTTCGATGAAATTACATCTATGACATGGAAGTGTAGTTTATGAGATCGTTCTTGGATCTATAAGAAGAAAACATACTTCTAAAGTTAAGACTGTGTGTAAGGACCTGGGAGATTGATGAACAAATGGTATTTCTGATGGGCTTCTTGTGTTACCTTCATCAAGTCATTCTGGATTCTTATGGTCCTAAAGCTTATCTACAAATGTGTTAATAAATGCCTATTTTTATTTTAAGCATTTTAGGACAGAGTCTGTTTCTTACTACAAAGCTATCCCTTACTCAGCATAGTAACAGGCTGGAAGTGCTGCTTCCATATGATTAGTGATCATAAACACCAAAGTGAGATGATTTGCCACTTTTGTCCAAGATAGAAGTAATTTACACCCTGGGTGATAGTGAAAAACAGACCCTGCAGATCGTTGGCTTAAAGTATCATCAGCCTGTGGGTTTTACACAATTATTAGTATTAGAAAAACTATCTACTGTAACCTTAGCCGAGTGGGGAAAAATGTTACGGAAGCTAATGGCTGGGTGTGATGGAAAAATAATTTTGGAATATTAGGAGGTAACTCTTACAAACTCTCATTTAATGTAACCTGAGAAATCTACTCTCTGATCCTGCGTCAAGTTGCACCAATACTATCTATTGTAGTGTGGAAAAGAATCTTCACATAGCTGTGGTGGTAACAGAATTGAACATTAACTATTTAATTCTGAAACATAATTCTTGTAAATTTTTTAAATTATCATGTTAGTCTTCAGAAATGAGCTACCTTTAATAAAATCACAGTAACACTGCAAAATGCCTGCAATGTGGAGAGACTGTGTCACCATATGTTCAAGTTCAAGGTAGTACCAATCCCGACTACTGGACACCACTACTTTGGGGTTTCCAGACTTCTATTCCATGGGCTTATCTTCATGATGGACATATCCCAAAGGAGAAACCACACAATCTTAAATTTTCTAACATTCCCTCAGGACAGGACTTAGGGGAGGTTTACAAAAGCAGGATCTCTTGTGAATCTTTTTTATTTCAAGATTCAACTGAAACTAGGATGAGTTGACAGCATGACAGAGAGGGGCACAGAAGAGCTTATAAATGGAGTCCTGAAAAGATGATTTGATTTCCATTCTTTGGAATATTATACCTATTCAGAGATACTGCAAAGTAATCTCTGGTAAATTGCCCATGATTGAAGCAAATGATAACTGACTGAATAGACCCCTTTGGTCCTCATGAGGCTGAAAAGCTCTACAGAAGTTCTGAATAAGGGATGAAGGACTTCTTCTTTTGTTGTAATACATTCCTGATTTCCTTGTAAAATAGGGACATGTGACAACAAAATCTTCCGTCTCCAAATATTTTTTGTGTCCTTAAATACAACTCATGGAGCAAAGAAGCCTTTCCACCCCAGCCATTTTAATGTCTTTTACATTGCTAAGTTCCAGTAAGATTTCATTCCCTGAGCCACGTTTAATAGAGCAGGAGTTTTTTGCTCAAGTACTTGTTCATATTTTTCCCATTTCCCAGTGGTGTACCTGCCACAGCAGATGTTGTGGCTTCTTAATACATGTTTCAGATATCTTAATGTCTTTTGTGAACAACTAGAGATAAAAGGGTTTTTAACACTGCTGTAAGCTTCAGCATTTGTTATAAATTGGTTCCATTTGAAATACAGTCATTCCCAATGGCATTTGTTTTCAGAAGCATTCAGACATCTGCCTGTAAGACCAAACTACAAATCTTGAACTTGAATCTTACTGGGAATGAGCTCTACAAAATTTTTATGCAATACTTAGTGGAGTGTGGCTCCAGTCCTTCTCCCATTTGTTTCTTCATTGTCTTTTGTTACTTGGAGTTACTTTTTTTCACAAATATTTTTCTGCACATACAGATAACAAAAAGTGGGAATGAGTAAATACTTGGATTAGTGAATTTAGTCTAAATCCACTTCTACAGTAAATAATCTTTCATTATTCAATCACATTTAAATCTCTAAGTATGTGTGGTATAAAATATTAATCGTATATCAACATTTTCTCTGTATTACAAGCAAAAATTCCAAACAAAACTAACAAAGAAACATTGTAATTAATGATTTATTTATTTATATCATCAGTACTAAAATATGGCAATGGAGCTTACATAGATGATATTAAGCCAAAAGCTGTTTGAGTCAAAATAACTAGCCACACCTTGGAAGAGGGACAACTAAGAAACCCGAAAATAAAACCATCTGTGAAAAACAACCTAGGGAGTAAACATCCAAACTGAAGCATGTCTTTACATGTTCCATACTATGCTAATGTAATGAGAATGCAGCACTAAAAATGTTCAAAGCAGTGAGCAGGGATTTTTAACTACATCCATCCCTCTACAAGAGTAGTCCCTCTGGCATCATAAAGAGTACTCACTTGAGTATGGCTCACAGGAGTGAGATCACAACACTAAAAAGAAGAAAAAAGGACACAGCTATGGTAAAAAGAAATAAATTTAGTAAATGTAAAATAAATAGCTTTTAAGTTGTGGGGTTTCTGTTGCTTCAAGCAGATCTGGATAAGCACCCAGGAAAATCAATTGCTTGCATAATGACCAAGTTTATTTTACTTTTTCAAATCATCAGCATTCATGAGAGGAGGAGTGCTGCTTCGAATCAGGCATGTTGCAAACAGATGTTATGCAAGTTTCTCCAAACAGTCCTGCCAATGCATTGCAATCCTGAGTTATGACAGTCACTAGAACTGCTGCAGTCTGGAACCTTTTTTGGGCCACAGATTGATCTGTTGGTTTTCCCAAAATAGGGATGATATTTTTGTGATGCATACAAAAACTTGAAGAAGATTAAGATAATTATTTTTAATTTTCAGACCAGTGGAATTTGGACACCGTATCTGAGTTACATGGCCCATCAGCAGTATGAGACAGAAATGGAAAGTACATTACTTGTCATCATATGTATGGCTGTGATAGTGACTCTTAGCAAATATCATCTCCTGGTCCATTTCCACAACGCGTTTGGTAAGGGACAGTCTCTTGCAGTTTCCTTCTGTTCTTATGTTTGAAGGAGAAAAGGAAATGATTTCCAATACCAGTTTCAAAATCCATTGTAGGTTTTTAATTAACATACTCCTTTAGCCTACAAATGCATGAAATTGCTACATCCTTTCATAACCTTTAAACAACTAAATGAAAAAACAAAGGATACAAAATATAACTGATCTCATGGAGCAGAACAACTCTACTTTTGAAAGACCCTTCAGATTCTTGAACAGGAGATGAAGCACTGTTGCTAATGCACATTCAAAGCCTTAAATAGAGAATATCAGATGAGAAAAATACCATAATTCCTGCACCAAAACACACTGTACTGTGCAGTATCTCATAAAAATGAAAATTTGTTGCTGTTCACAGTAGGAAAACTTTTGCTTGGAAATCTAAATAGCCCATTTTCTTATTATATAGCCTAATGTCATTGTTGCGTATTTTGTATTTTGAAGCATATGCTCTACCATTCTTTTTCAGACGTTAATCTTGAAAAGATGTGGGAGTACGCAGGTAAAGTGGAGTAATAGTTTTTGCATTCACTGTTCTTTACTAAAACATGATTGCACTTTCCATCTTTAAACAATAAAAAATACTTTGATAAAGCTTGCTCAAGCCTAACAGCCAGAGCCATGTGATCAGTAATTTTATTGTACTATTCTTTCTTGTTAAAGAAGCAGAAAGCAACTGAAATAACTTGCCCAGCGATGACAAACAAATCAGTGTGAAAATCAAAAGGTTGGTACTTTGTCACATACAGTTCTACACTCGTATTACTCAGCTATGTTTATTTTACAGAGGTTTTGGTTTCGGGGCTTACGTGCACGCACTGTTGCTAAGTTCAAGAAAGGGCAACAAGTTGTGGTGAGAATGAAGTGATTCTCCCTGTGCACCAGCGAGTAAGGATTGGATTACAGTTCATGAAGAGTCTGAACAGCATTTAGGCATTCAATGTACTCTAATACGTACAATTTTTCTTCCCTGTAAATTGGGGTTATTTGATTTGTGATAGAGGGAGGTGAGAAAAAACTTTCCAGCCGAGCAAAGAACACCAAACGCAAGTTGAGGCTACTGGGCAAAATACAGGAGATGTTATGGGTGACTCGTACGGCAGGCGAAGCAAGGGCTCATTCCTGACAGCCTGGGTATCAAGGTGATTTCCTAATAGGGAGATTCACCAGGCTGTGCAATAGTTTTCAATGGAAAACTGGGGAGATTCTATCCACGGAAGGGCCGTTCGCTCCAGCTATCGAGCCAGCCTCCCTGGGCGAGCAGAGACGCAGGCTGGAGTCCCCAGCCCCGGGGGAGAGCACCCTTTTCGGCTGTAAAAGGTGTCGCCTTTCATCCCCGCGACGCGGCCGCCGCTTCCCTGCCCCTGAACTCCTCACCTAAGAGCACCCTCATCCTTCGCCTTCAGCCTTCAGGAGGAGGAGGAGGAGGAGGAGGCGGCGGCGGCGGCTATATCGCCCGCCTGGAGCGCCGGGCCAGGCCCACCCGGCTGCTCGCCAGATACTGAAAGGCTTCGGCCCTGGGCCTCAGAGGCCGCTCGGGCCCTGCCGCGGGGCTAGTACCGCAGCCGCTGCCGCCCGGGCTCCACCGCTCCCCTCAGCCTTACAGGACAGCGCACCTCCCGCCCCGGCTCCCCTGGAAGCCGCCCCGCCTACTGCGAAGCCTTCAGTCACCGTCTCTCCGGTTGCGAGGGGCGACCCCGGCAGCGCTCGCCGGAGACCTGGCGCACAGAACCAGCGGAGCAGTGGAGCCTTACTCTCCACAGCCACCGCGCTCCCTGCACACCGCGACGCCCGCCGCCTCTTCCCTGGGGTCAGAGCCAAGCCCATAGAGCGCGCCGGTGCCGTGCTAGAACGTACGCAGCGGGGGCCGCCTCTGCCTGCGCGCGGCGGCAGCGGCGCCGCAGCTCCCCCTCGCGGCAACCGGCGGCCTCGCTGCGGACCGAGGAGAGAAAGGGAGAAGGGGCAGTAATGGCGGCCAGTTAGTGCGAGACTGAGCCGAGGAGGCGGCGGCAGCGACGGGAGGAGCCGGCGCGGCTCTGTCTGTGGCTCTGCCCGGCGGACCGGCTTCCCCGCGGCACTTTTTATCTTCTTCCCCCTCCCCCCTTTCCCCCTTTCCCTCCCCTTCCCCTCCCCACCCGAGCCCCCGCCTGTCCGCCCTCCCTCCTTCCTCCGCGCCGGCGGCGGCGGCGGCAGCGGCGGCGTCCCCCCGTGTGCCCCCTCCCCGGGGCCATGGTGAACACCAGGAAGAGCTCTTTGCGCCCCCTGGGCAAAGCGGCGGCCGCTGCGGCCGGAGCCGGCAGCCATTTCATCTCGTCCCGCACCCGCTCCTCCAAACGGGGCACCAAGGCAGATGCAGCCGGGCTGGAAGAGACGGCGGCAGCGCGGGTGAGGACCGGCGGGTTCACGGGGGACGGGGAGGGAGACGGCGCCGGGTGGGCAGCGGCAGCAGCGAGGGCCTCGGCCGGGGTGTCGCTGGGGACAGCGCCGCTGCTGTCGGGGGTGGGGGGGAGCCGGGTACGGGCGCTGGAGGGGGGGGGGGTGGTGGTGAGCCGGCTGTCGGCTTGACGGGAAGAGGAAGGACGGCGGAGCCCGTGGGGAGCCGGGGTAAGGAGGGATCGTTGGACCGTTGAGCCAGCGGGGATCCCGGGGACGCTGGGGGCCAGCTGCGGAGAGCCGCCCGCTGCGTCCCAACTGGGTTCCCTGCTCGGTGGGGAAAGGCCGGTGCCGCTGACAGGGTATGGGGGCGGCCGGGGCCGCGGGGGCGAAGTTGCTGCCCCGCTGGTGCCGGTGCCTGGGGCGGGCAGGGCCGGCGGCAGCGGGTGGGGGTCCGACGACGGCGCGGGGCTCCCCCTGCGGCCGCGCCCGGCGCTGCGCCGGCCGCCAGACAAAAGTTGGGAGCTGCGCCCGCAGCAACTTCTCAGCCTTGCTTCCCATGTATATCTATATATATGTGCATGTTTTCTTTTCCCTTAAATGACCTCGTTTCCTGCGGAGTTGGTGTTTGAGAAGGGTCCCCGCTTTTCGTGACACCCCGGCCCCCAAAACGGGAAGGGAGTAATTTTGCCGTCAGGTTTAAGTTGATTGCTTTCCCAACATAAAATTTCTAACTTACTACAATGGCTTCGTTTGTACTGGCTAATGGCAAGTGAATAGTACGGCCTCATCTGGAAAATTAACGTTTGGTAAATTCTAATTGGCAGAAAGAATTCAGGAGCCTGTTTCCCCCCCCCCCCCTTTGTTGTCTCTAAACAGATCTGTTGACAACAGCTATATTTTTTAATTATAGGCAGGGATTTTTTTTCTTTCCGTTGGTAGAACTTGATGTATTGCTTTGAAGATTTAAATTAGTGGTTGTAGTTGCCTGATCCGCATACATATTTTAAAAGCTATGTAAATATGGAAGTGAAAATTGAGGGTCAAAGCGTTTGACAGTGGTATACCAATTGGCCATGTCCCAGCCTCTGCTAAGGAGGAAGTTCGACAAGCAGAAAAACAGTAATAGCAACCAGAGGCAGATCAGAAGGATGGTACCTGGAACTGTCACAAAACCTTCTGGTCCATACTTTTATAATACTAAAAAATCCCAAACAACCCCCAAAACAAAACAGACCCCCCCCACCACCAACAACCCCCCTCGAAAACCCTGACTAGGTATTCTATGCCTTCTGTGCTTCTCTTTCAGCTCTTTCATGCTTCACAGTTCTTCCCTTCCTCCATTGTACTTTTCCTTCTTGTCCCCTATTTCTTCCTCGTTTAATTTCATTAGACTCATGGGGATGCAGCACCATGGCTGTAAAAAGCTGTTCTGCTTGTTCTGGTGTGCAGTTTCTGTTTATTCATATCGTGGGTCTTGTGGTTTGTGAGGCAAAGTTTTAGTGTAACCCTTACTGGTTTACTTTGGAGGGAGTTTACTGCTGCTGAAAAAACCTACAGCTTAGGCTTCTTGCCAAATATTTTTCATCTGTGACTAGTATTTTTATACTACAAATCATTAAAACATTTAAATTATGTTATTGTTATGGTGTGAGGAAAGGAGATTGTGCAAAACTTTGTCACAAGATCTGTAAATGCATCCCAGGATATTGCCCAGGCTTCTAAAAAAGCATTTCTTCTACAGTTAAGTATATGTTCTGGTCTAAGGCAGTGGGCTTGTTTCACTTCACAAGAGGTCTCATGTATTTGAGGCAATTTTATTTTAAGATGTGATTGCCAGAGATGAACAAAAGTTACCCTGGGAGAGGTTTTAATTAATTAATTAATTTATTATTTTTTTTTCCTATTTCTCCTAGTGAATTTTGTAGAATATACATGTCCCACTGTATTTTACAGTTGTCTTTGTACAGCTGTTTTTATTTCCCAGATGGTAACTCTTTGTCAGTGATACAGCGTCTTTCTCTTGAGCTCCTGAATCTTCTTGAAGTAGTGCCAGAGGAGGATTTCAGGGAGTAGGACATGAATAAGTATAGCAGTAGGAAGACAAAGCCTTTGCTTTTGCAAGCAACTGTCGGGAGACAGATAGCGAGGCTGTTTTGTACAGAAAGTGCCCTGGGATCGTTTTCATGCAGTTGTATGTATTTTATTTTTTTTTTTAAAGTTGACTGGAACAGTGTGTCCTGAAATCTTTTGGGTGTCACGTCAGGAAACCAGCCTTACTATCAGCAGTTAATCAGGTTAATGGGCAGCTAGAATTTGGAGCTCTGGAAGAGATGCTACACTTCTTATTTGCACTGTGTGACTTCATTTTCTTCCACAGAGGTTCTGACTTGGACTCTCAGAGAAATGCTCTTCAGTGGCAGTGATTGTAATTACCTTTCAGAATGTATTTGGAAAGATCATCTATTTGTTCCTTATTAGCGACAGAAACTCAGTTAACAATCCAGGGGTAACCTGTAGGATGCTGATTAGACCAGATGAGAGGTTAGGAGTTGCTTTCCACCTTTTTTATATCTATTTCCTTTTCCTTCTCTTTTTCATTTCCAGGCTTTTCCTGGTATGCATAGGGTTTGTTTTGTTTTGAATACTTTTGCAAGGACAAGCTTGAATCCCTCCTCTCCCAAGAACTAGTTTCTAGTCTTCCTTTTCAATATTATGTCAAGTTACATATTAATAGTGTCCGTTTTTTTATATCTGAATCTGGAAGCAACACACGTTCTGTGGAAATGGGGTATAATTGTCTAAATGCCTTTATTGTATCCTCTGTATTCCCTCTATATTACTTGCTCATCTTGAGAAAGCAATGATGTCAGTCTTTGAAAAGTAAACAGTTTTGAATTATTGATTGGTGACCATGCGTTCAGTGATTGAGGTAAGTACATGTGTGTCCACTAACCAGAAGCCAGATTAAAATGAGCAAAATCCCTCACTAAATGGATCAAGGAGCCAGGAAGTTCATTCTCTGAAATGATGTCATAGTGGAGTGCACAGATTGGGTATTGGAAAGGAGAAACTGGGCTATGTTTTCTTCTTGTTTCCAGGATAGAGTTATACACTATTTAATAGAAATTGAAGCTATCCTTATATACATTTATATTCTATATTTAAATGAATTATATGTATTTTTTCCCTTCTAGCATTAAAACTTGGGAAGTGATATGGTTTTATATTAAAGCATTCTGATGAGAAAAGTGCCTAAAAATCTTCCAGAGTTTTCAGAAACATAGAACTGTAGCATGAGACTTAACAAATTCAGTGGGCTTCATTCACACTGTGAAAGAATTGAGGATACTGTGACCATAACTGATTAAATTTGTGCTTTAGATGTACTGATGTCTGCTGTTTTATGATATTGAGCTGTGATTGTGGTAACACTTATTTGCCATTGAAATGGTTTTTCTCAGGCATCTGAAAACACAAATCAAAAATGTTGATCAAGAAAACTAATGAATTTATTGTAAAAGAAACACTTAAGATTGTGTCAGCCTATTAGACATTTTAGAAATGTATACAAGATTAGCTTAATTTAATTAGTCAAGAAAGCATTAGCAGTGCCTTAAGAGCTCCTTGAGGGCACTGTGATAATTGTAACACACGATCTTAGCTAAAAGTAGTACTGCCAACATCGTTCAACTTACTTGGTGGCAACCCAGAGCTCTCCATTGTACTTAACTGCTAACAGGAGCAAACACAGACTTGAGGGTTGACATTGAGTGCAGTAGTGTGGGAAGGTATAAAGCTAAGCAGCATTTCCTTGCTCAGAATATTTTAGTGTCCCTTACTGTAATTTCTCAGTCTGTAA